AGTGTCAGTTACATATATGCAGGATAGTGTTGATACGGAAATTCTGTTTTCTATGAGAGTATATGTTCACTTCCCATGGCCATTTATTGCGCATAATTGTGAAGCAATTGTGTTGTCTGGATTCTGATTTCAATTTCAGGAACGTGAATTCAAGCAGACGGCAACATTGGTACTTTGAACATTTCCACAGGAGAATTAACTGAAGAAGAACTGCGCAAACAATATTATGGAAATGTGGTTAGAGGATTTTGGAAATAAAACATAAATCTTCCTCAGAAGTTATGTTGATAATGTAAATATTAAAAAATGTTCTCTTAGAATGGACAGGCGATGATTTTGTTGCTACCCCGGAAACCTTTACAAAATAGTAGCAAAATTAATAGTGATGCCCAAGCCGAAGTTAAACTCCGTTGAAGTGGAATTGCGAAAGCTTTCCTCTGATTTATCAAAGTGCCTGTCAAATGTCAAGCCTGCTGAAGAGTATCGTTTTTATTTATTTTTTAGACTGGAATCGGATGAATGGGAAACTGGTTTAAGCAATCTGAAAAGTATCCACCGCAGGATCATTAACTACAAAACGCCAGCTACAAGAGAACATTATATCTCAATCGAACGCAAATGGCTGCAAGGCAAACAAAAAGGTGATTTTGCTCTTCAAAAATTGTTTGCAGCATGTTTTACCCTCGCTGGTGGAAGAGGTTTTTAAAACTGCAGATGAATATTTTTCGATTCTTTTTCACTTATTTTAGTACATTAGAGCTTTGCAAGACACTACCGATCCTGTTCGGAAGTGCCAAAGCATCCCCCTCGCCCCTCCCTTCCAAAAAATATATGAGCAGGATATTATTTTTTAATTGTCGGATGTTAGAAACAAAGGGATATTGATGCTTGGAGACGAACAAGATTAGTAGTTTTGAATTGAGGAGGCACCAGCCACTGTCTGGAGGCGATGCGCATTAGCTGAAATTACCTTGCACAATGAAAGTCGGATGAGAATCTCTGCGTGCCACTGTTTGTTCATAGCTCAGTTAGTGACTAATGTTATCTTAGAGCTTCTTTAATCAAGCAGCACAGAAAACCTGTTTTTTAACGCTTTTTTTCACCAGTGAAGTAACTTAAGGTTAAAAGATTCGGTTTTTGCAACAAGTATTTGGCATGCTGTTAGCATTCATATATTACACTGTTAGTTCAATAATCAAAGTATCTACATTGCCTTCACAACATAATCAAATTATTATTGAAAAGTACATAAATATGATTAAAAGTTCTAAGCAAATGGTCAATCACCCCGGTAAGACAATAAGTGCAAATATTACAGAAAATGAAAGCATGTTGATATTGATAAAATTAAAAAAACATCAAAGTAACAAACTATATAAATTAATAACCCCTGAAAATAAGACTTAACTTTATACAATACTAGAATAGTAACAAACATAAATAATGCAATGTATATATGAAATACATCAGGAACCAAAATAAATTAATTGTATTATTAGGGAATTGACTAAAGGA